ATTATTATTTGAGCAAGATTGCCAAGCAATCTGGCAATCTTGGTCTCCAAAAGGTAAACTAGTTGGCGAGCAAGTGGGGCAAGATGACCGAGATTGNNTCTGAAGCCCCCTGGCCACTAGGGCCGCCCAGATGCCAGGGTGGGATACTTGTCCCCACCCGACTTCTTGAGCGTTGGTCGTTGCACTTTTTCATGTACTGTTTCTCACTGAGGTGGGAGTGGCATGGTACTTCGGGTGGATGCACAAGCATCCCAGCCACAGCGGTATTCTTCAGCACAGCACACCTGATTACCAGTATCTTCTTGCATTGCAGACTGCAGGAGGACGACCCATAACCCTCCCTCCCCGTCCAAGCACAGCCACTGGTGTGCCTAGCTCGATGTGTGGCTGGCTCGGAATGACACTAGACAAGAGCGGTAGGCTACAACAACCAAGTTACACTTATTAAACATCCTTCCCCTCCTCTCGCTGCAGGGCATAGACCCGGCACAGCCCACCTCTCTCTCTCTCTTCGTCTGCTTCTCCTTCTTCTTCGAAAGGGGTCCATAGGCCCGTTGCCTGGCTGTCTGTGCTCTTTGTCGCACGACAATGTGAAACACAGGGCATGCGCGATCCCCTCTCTGTCTCTCCTTCATACTTTGATTTTCGTGCTTCCTAGTTTTCTTCCTGTACTTCTGTGTCACATTTATTCAGTGCACAGCCATAATTTCTTTGCCCCGCACGTTGCCTGCTTGATTGACCGAGATCTGGAGCTGTCTGCGGGACCTTCCGAGGCGGCTGTACATCTATGCCCCGAAACACGACGGCCATAGTGGAGCTTGGAATCGAACCTACATTAAACACACGTAGTTGATGCAACTAAGTAAACCTTTGGCCTGGGGATGTGCCGCACGCGAATTCGAATGCTGTTGAACTCTTTCTTGCACGGAACACTGTGTAAGGCTGCGACGAGCAAATGTCTCACGATCATGCCGCAACACAGGCTCGAAAAGCCCGCAAATCCCAAATGTGAACCTGCACCACGCACATTGTCCTTCACGTTGGAGTTCAGCATTGAGCCGAACCGACGCAGAGGGCAGAGCCCATGTAGAGTTTGCAGCGAAGCTACAATGATCCCTCTGAGGTTCTGGGCGTGGGTTTCGGTGACTGCCAGGGAGTCAAACGCATTTACCGCCTTATCATTTACCACAATGGTGCCACGGAAATCCTTCGGCATGGCCTGTGCGACCAGTTCCGCCGGCCGTGGAGGCGAGGATGCATGGCTATCCACCTGCAATGTCTGCAATGCACACCTCTTACAGCCGTTTCGACATGCATGCAAGAGCCTGCCGTGCTCGGACTCTCTGCAAAATGTTGGCCATCTTCCGCGTAGACGGAGAAGGAAACCTGAACGTGTCGTCAGGCGAGCAAAGTGTTCGCTGCGTCGCCGCTGGTCCCTTTGCTGAAAGGCCACTGCGGCTTTGCCGCGAGTCCGTCCTCTTCTGTGGAACCAGCCGTGCCCGGCGTGGAGGGCACAAACTCACCTAGTGCCAGGATGCCAGGCCCATCAAGGCTGTGACATGCCATGCCATGCGCATGCGCCGCCAAAGGAAGGAAGAAGGCCAGACGAGTCTCCGAGGCTGCTCGCTGCTCCGAAACTGCTCTGGGTCGAATTCATGTCTGACTTTGGACCCATCAGCTTCATCACCACGGACTGCAGCCCATTCTGTCCTGTCAACATGCCAGGTTGGTCATAATGCAGAAGCCCTGGCCATCACTGGCCCGTCCTGACTTCTGGTTGGCCTTCTTCTGACCTCCAGGGCCGGGTCTTCGAGCGCTGTGACCGCAGCGTGTTCAGATCCCTGCCTGCCATTGGCCCGGTCTTCGAGCGCGGCATGCCAGAATTCGACCTCTCGCCTCAGAAAGCCGGGCACGGGAGAGTCAGGAATGCGAAATGTGCACAAAGTCTGGCTTCGAGCGGATCAAGCTTTGCCAACCGATGCACCCTCCTGCATGTCCATCGTCACATCCATCGATCTTTTCTCGGCCTACTCGGCCACATTCAGAGTGTGCATGTGTATGCTGCTGGTGTGATGCACTTGCGAATCTGGCTCCCATTCTCATCATGTCAGCATGTGATGACAACCGAATGACACGCAAGATGCACGGAAAACCTTGAAGTCCTCAGTCGTGTTGGAGATGTTGCTTGCTGCAAGTAAACTCGTAGCACATCATGTCACACAGCAGGATGATAATTGCTGCGCATGCTATATTGCAGGTTTGGCAGTTGAAAACTTCTACCCCTGTTGAGAAGTAAATGTGTACGATGGAACACGATCCCTCTTTTTCAGGAAACTGCTTGCGGTTCGCAACAATCTGAGCCCTTTCACACGTTGCATGTTCAACAGTTTACCACCCCGATCATTCCCCAAATACAAGGCGTCCATCGTGAGTGCGCCTCTTTTGCTTTCTCGGCAACCTGCGCGTCCAGACCAGTGGAGCGGAGGACATCGGGTCTCTCACCCAAGTTCCATTACACCTCAGCCTGAGCTGAACCCGAAAACTCCAATGCTTGCACGCTCACGAACCCTTCGACCAGGTCGAAATATTTTGGCCCGAAGCCCTTCAGGTTGCCTACAAACCTTTCGCTCAACGCGCTTACCACGACCATTTGGCGAAGGTGTGCACAACTAGATTCAGTCCACTGAGGTCCACTGAGCCATTCGCCTGCAGCCCTTTGCACATCTCACTCCAGGCCCAAAGGGTTTCAAGGCCTTGCCAGCGTTGGACATCGCCACCATGCTGCGCAGTGTACCACCCTTTCTGATTGCTTTGGTGAGGTTGATGGTCGTCCTGAGATTCTCCAACCACTGGGCGCTCTGAGACTTAGATCGTTGCATGTGCACTCTGCTCCACTGCATGTTTTCTCGCACTGAAACACTTAGCAACCCGCTTCCAGCGAAGCGAAGCACCTCCTGGTCCTGGCTGCATCATGCTAGAGAGAGCTTCTTCCAGCCAACGATTTCAGACCCTACTACTGACCCCACTGGCTACCACATGGTTGCTTGAAATGGCCGTGCCTGGCTGATTGTCGGCAGGGGTACCCTGCGGCAGCCAGCCATCCCTGAGGAAGTGAGGACTAAGTCAAAATCTTGACAAGATGCCTAACACCTCACTTCAAAGCACTCGAATCCACATGCATCGGCGCTCTGGGTGTGTGCATAGCAGCACATAAAAAATAGAAAACTGCCTTTGTGCTGCAGATTCCATGAGCTCTGGCAGTTTGTTCCATCGGTTCCTCAGATCTGGATGGGATCATGTTTGTAAGGACGACGCATGTATGAGCTTGCAAGCCCGTGTTGTTTCCACCGAGCGTTCTTTCCCTTGAACTTGATTTCCCGCAACCGTGACCTACCCTTCGCCTTTCCACAAACATGTCTTTGTGCTTTCCAAAGTGCGGATCACCTGAGTTGCAAACTGAAGTAGAGGCGAGGTATGCGATTTGCATCATCAACTTTCTGCAAGCTTGAATACTCAGGAGAGCTACGACAAGTCGACTGCAAGAATGACCGTGTAAGTACTGGGAGGGCCTGCCAGGCTGGAGCCCAGTGCTTGAATGTTTTAGCAGCCCCAGCAATAATAACAAAGATACCAATGGCAACAATACTGATGAGAATGGAAATAAAAATACGAATAAGAATAGCCCGCTTGAGCGCCATCCATTTTCGGGGTTGGTGCATACAGCAGGTGAGTTGTTACAGACTCCTTGACGGATTTCGAATTCCATGACCGCTATCCGCTATCCTGCTGTCAAAATCAGCCAACATATCTGAGGAGCGTGCAATTAAGCCCTTTCGCCCTCATCGTCAGTGCTGCTTACCAAAAACTGGCCCACCCAAAGTTCTGTTTATCCCAGAAGCTCAATCAAGTAACCACTGTGGATCTTACCGTAGTTTGAGAATAGGTCTAAGGCAACGCGTCCCCGATTCCTCTAATGATTTGCTTTACCTGATTAAACTGTTCAGCTGTAGCTATCCTGAGGGAAACTTTGGAGGGAACCAGCTACTACATGGATGATTCGATTAGTCTTTCGCCCCTGTACCCATGTAGTCAAGAAGCACCTGACGGCAAAGCCTCTTCAACCCGAGTATGCCAGTGACGAAGACTTTCTTCCCCCAGCCGCCCCGCGACTTGGCCAAAGGGGCCGAAGGCTTGCCGCCGTTTCTCCGGTGAGTCGCCGAGGCTGTCCACAAGCTCCTTGAGCTCGGACACCTCAGAGTGCGGCAGAGAATGAGTGCAGAGTGCAGATGAGCGCATCTCTTTGCAAAACTCGCCCCACCTCGGCCTTTTGTAGGCTTGGAAGGTGCGAATCCTCATTGGAACCTCGAAGGACTGCACACGTACGTCGACTCAACGTCGATGGCAAAACAACAGGACTTGTTGCCAAAGTCTAGGAAGCTTCTGTGCCACAGAATCTACTGCTTGCGTGTTTAGTGTATACACAGCCTCCGCATTTGCCGAGTCTAGCAGCCTGGAAGAGTGCCTAGCCAATCGGCGGCACTGACCTCATCCATAAAGACTGATCCTCATTGCGAGGGCACCATGACCTAAGGTCAAGGTGGCAGGTGAAACACAGGTCTCTCTCGTAGCGAGGTGACCGCTTCTGCTGCTTCTACTTGGGCGAAAGCAGGGTTGCGGGTTGGGAGCTTCACTACAGACATGTATCCCTTTTCCTCAACCCTCCAGTTCACAAGGGAGTAAGACAGCAAGCACCAAGAGTGCGTGCTCTCACTGCGCAAGGGCTTGACTGGAGAATCATGACATGCCAACCGTGATACGATGGTCCTGTTTCGAGCCATAATCACAACAGGCAGAACCACAGGCACGATGCAGGCGATTGAAAAAGGGGCAAGACGGGCGTGGACTGAAGCCTTCTCCAGTGCACTTGGAGCAAGCAGTTGCGGCTCAAACTGCGAACACTCTGCACTGCTGACACGCTGAACCCCGGAAGGATCGCCCACCTCGTAGCCCAAGTCATGCAAAAGCAATGGCACCCAGTCCACAGAACGATCCTGCAATGCTTGCATGGCTGACAAGATACTCATCATCAGTCTTTGACTGGCTTCATGCTGTCTTCACGGTAGCAACCCTAACCGGCCACTATAACAGAACACTGGCAACGTTCAACCAGATTGACGTGAAGCTTTCAAGCTCCCATGGGCCCATGACTGCTTCGCCGCATCATGCTGCATCAGTCGGGTAAGGATCGGACACGATGAGGGTTGTAACAGGAACCGGCGTGCGACGGAACTGCAAGCATAAACCAACCACCATGCAACAGGAACGAGGGGGACACACAACAGAAACTGGGCGGAACCAGCAAAGCAGCCGGACAACGAAACGAAACCGGGTTCTAGGTTTTGACGTTAAGTTACAGCGTTTGCTCCCTTTACAGAGCCCTTCGAACTCCATGAAACAAAGCCCTTAAAAGCCCTTTATGAGCCCTTGAAAGTCATTAAAAGGCCTGTGAAGCCCTTCGCATGCTCTTATAAGCCATCAGCTTGTAACCAATATAAAACTGTTATAAGCTTACAAAGGGCACCCATGTAAGCCCTTTATACGCCCTGTAGCAGCTTTACAGTATCACAAGCCCTTATATCTGAGAAACCCTCAAAAGCCCTTTATAAGCTCGTGGTAAGATTCTAAGAAACACTTAGCCATTAGTTAGCCTATATAAATGCTTTAGAACTTAGCACCCAAACCCTAAACCCTGTAATCCTTCACCCCTGGACTTCCAAAACTTAAAACCTGTGAATCGTACAACCCCAAACCCTAAACCCCTAACCCTTGAACCATAGACCCTTAGACAAAAGACCTTCCTCTCCTCTTCCTGTCCCCTTCCTCTTGCTCTCCTCTTCAAACCTCGATCCTCTCCTCTCCCTAGACCCTAAACCCAGAAATCCACCCCGGTTTAGGGTTTAGGGTTCCAAAAACTCACCGATTGTAAATTACATTTGTATGATGAACGCTCTGCTTTTCCTCTATTCGCACACTCCCCCTCCAGAAGCGCCTCTCTCCTATACTCCAAACCCTAAACCCTAAACCCTAAACCACCGTGAAGCCTAAACCCTAAACCTGTAAAAAACCATTGGTTTCATTAGGATCCCAATAAAACTATGGCTTCTTATAGTTTTTTGCAAAACTATGGCTTTTTGGCTAACCCATATTTTAAACCCTAAACCCTAAGGCCGTAAGCCCTCAAGCAAGTAGTCGGAAGCGAGTACAAGGGCGTTGAAGGGCCAGTTTCCATTGTTCTCGCACAGTCCGCGCCCTTGGCAGCTGAAACATGGTTCCGGCGGCTCGCACCCGGTTCCGGTTACAGCCCGGGCCCGGTTTCCGCGACAGCTGGGTGCCAGTTCGTAAAACAGAGTTCCTGTTACAACCCACTGGTTCAAGTTACAGCGTTTACTCGATCGTGCATTGCCCCCAAGGGGTCTCAGTTTTTAAACCCTGAACCCGCTTTTCTGACCCCCCGGTCGTTGCGAGACATGCAAACGCATCGAGATAGATACCTGGTGATCCTTGAGGAGTTCAGCATAGCATGTTCCTGATACCTTCTTTGGGCTGTGCTCAAGCACAAAACTCGCGAAACCCACAGCCAACTGCACAGTCCACGATCAGAAGGGAACAGGTCTCCGAGGATGCACGGCTCCTTTGCAGGTACAGGAGATTAGAAAGTTCGACGGAACTTGAACTTCGACACCGAATCGGATGCGCTGGCCCCTGCCTCCAGGGTGCACCCCCCCTAGCCTCCATTTCCTCCAGCCTGAGAAGCGGACGATTCTACGAGCGAGCGGGCGTCCAGCTCGCTGCTTGCTGAGGGAAGCCGCACGACAAAGTAACAAGACACCAAGACTGAGGAGTATGCCTGATGCAAACCTGTCAGCAACATGAGCACAGGACTAAAATGTGCAATAACATCTGTGCTATTGGCGATTCTGCTGCCTCTCGTGCAAGACGCTCACAGTGGCCCTCGTTTCCGCCGGGCGTTGCACAGAGCACCCTCGGCTCCTTACAGGACTTGGATTCAGCAGTTCTTCAGGCTCGGAGAGTGCCGCTCCTGCCCCAGCGTCGCGAAGAGCGTGGCCAGACCTGCAGCGAGCATAGAGTGCAACAGCTAGGGCACAACCCTAGTAGTAAGCGCCATGCAGCATCCAGCTCGCTTCCAGTCGAAAGCCTCCTCAGTCTTGTCGTATCCGCAGTGCGGCAAGAGCGACATGGACTGCACGACAAGCACGATGCGAATAAGGCCATGCACGGATGCGGAGCCAGAGAGATCTGACAGATACGAAAACGGAGTGTGGGCGCCTGCGCCTGCTGCTTTCACAAGGGTGCCCTTCTAGCTTAGGGTTCGAGTCCTCGCCCCGGTGCTACCTTCCGATGTCGCATCGCCATTTGCCAAAGCTGCCCCTAGCTCGGGCTCTTGTCCTAACCCCTGCTACCTGCCCTAACAGAATACGGCCCTCCATCTGTCGCGCCTTTTGCCAAGCAATAGTGCTCTTCGTTCTCACCGTGGCCGCGTACGTATAGTTGGGTTTTTACCGTTCTGTTTTTCCTGCGCAGAGTCGTTCTGTCGGCTTCGTGAAGACCCAGAAATACGTTCCCTGTTCCCTACTCCATCCTACTCCCAAGTCCGGGCATGTTGCCATCATATGCGGTACATCGAGATCTAGAAACAAAATGCGACACGAAGAAACCCTAGCTTCCTGAGCACAGGGCTTGCGAAGAGATGCCCAGCAGGCCCTTCAAGCTGTCACCATGGTCCTGCTCGGAGCACTGGTTTCAGGGACTGGTTTGTGGGCTCTCTACTGTTTCAGGCTTCCGACCTGCATGTGAAATGAGTGGTCATCGTAGGCCAGCATGCTGAGGTTGAGCTCCGAAAACGTGGAAATTTTGGACACGGCCTGCAGACTCAAACATTGCCAGCGAAATAAAGCTTTGCGGCACGGCGCTTCGATTTCACGAAGAGAGTAAGACACAAGTCAAAGCGCGGACCAGCTCCCGACGCCTCGAGGGACTCTGCCAATCTTTGCAGCATTAGATCCTGCTGCAAGAACAACACTCCTGGAAAAAGCGAGCCCCTTATTTCCGTCTAGCCTAGAGTTTAGCGTCCCGGCTGCAAGGACACGAAACCAGTGCCTCGAGGCGATGGGAAAAGAAGATATGGGAGCTTCGATACTTCGCAGATTTGGCGGAAAGCTCCTTGCCAAGCACTCACGATACAGTTCGCATACTGGCACCACGGCTTCCATGCGATACAGCCCAGTGTTTGGCAGCCGCAAGCTCCGACACGTAGGATGAACGGAATTGGTGAAAAAACTTCAGCTGTCCCATGATTCGAATCTTGTCTTACATGTCTTACCCTCACCAGACCCCATCTCCCTTTTCACGACATTCCTCCACCAAGCGGTCCATGTTCTCCAAGCTGGGCGCCAAGAAGTACACTGCATCCAAAGGCAGGGCCTGGCAGGGTGCGATCCGAGTTTCGCCCCATGCTCAGCGCAAAAGCGTGGGCCGAGACATGCACATGCTGCAAGTTGGTATAGGAAAGCAAACAGCCAAAGAGACCATCTTCGAGACTTCCACGTGAAAGAAAAAGGCTTTGTCCCACGCAGGCCAGGAGAAACGCAGGTCAGAAATTATGCCGTTGCGGGAATTGAAATCGAAAGACGTAAAACCATGGAAAAAGAATCAGTAAACAAATAAGCCATGATTCCGCTGAACTGAGCACTCCCATGTCAGACAAGCCTGTGAAAATTACAAAAAAAGTGTTGAGCCCACTGCGCACAATATTACTCCGCACGGCCCTGTGCCCTAGGGCCTCATGTGACCCCAGCGTGTTCTCGTTGTTACCCGTATAAGGCTCGCCTTAGCCCTTCCAAGCCTTGCTTCGCCTTAACCCTAAGGCTGCGATTTGCGGCCTTGTCTTGTTGGCTTGATTCACTCCTTCGGTTGTCGCCCCTTGCTGTAGGGTTTGGATTTGGTTCACGCCGGAGGGTTTTGGGACGCTTGGGTTCTGGGCTTCCATTCCGCTGATGTCTTAGTGTGGATTTACGCTCTCGTCCTTAACATCTCTGCTTGGATCTTTAGGTTGGGCTTTCTCCTCGGCTTCGCTTATGCAGGGTTCAGCCCTCAGCAATTAGGCTGAGCTTCGGTGCTTGGGGGCCCGAAGCCCTCAAGAGCCTAACGGGAGGCGAGGCTCGAGGATGGGCGGAGAGCACGCGGTGACGAGCTGGGCCCCAGAATGAGACCGGAACACGACCAAAAAAGCGACCGCGATCGGAGACCGGGAGGATAAGGCTTTGAGATATTTCCGCCGTGCCTTCGAATTTGTGATCGGCACAGCACCACTTGATTCATGACCACGTGCGTGATTGATCCAAACTAGGCGGCCTGAAGAAAGAACAAGTTTTCGCGGCGTTTGCATGGGTGCTCAGCTACTTGGAGTCCGTGTAGCTGGATGTGCAACCTCTAGGCAACCTAGCATAAGGCAAAGCCTACGCGCACGGCGCCCAGTTCAAAAGTGTTTGCATGTGTTCCCGTTTGGGTGTAGGGAAACACAAGATGGAAGCCGTTTGTCAGTGTACTGTAAGTACTTTGAAACATGCTGAAGGAGTAGCATGGTTCGCACGTCGGTTGCAGGTTGTACTGTCGGCAAATCAGGCTTGCTCATGTGCTGCTCATCTATATTTATATATGCATATATATATATATATATCGCAACACTGTCTTCATGGTCTGATATGGTCTATTCGGTATTCGGGCGTCGGGTTGCAGGAGGACCGCGATTGAAGGTTTGCGGGCGGGGATCGGGAGGGCTGACAAAAAAACTCCTACTCCATCCTACTGTACTGTAAGGTCCCAACACATCTGACTCAGCCCTCTCCCGCAAAACCCGCCGCACATACTAAAAAACTTCGACACGAATTAAGCAGACACTCACAAACGCCTGAAACTCTCCGCCATGCACACCGTATCTGAACAGAAGCAAGCCCACTTGGAGGCTGTGACAGAACCCTGCTGCCTCGCGTGGCGCATCCAGGGACTCGACGAGGGCTATCCGCTCTTTCAGCAAATCATCAATGTGGCAGACCTGCGCAGAGCTCTGCGATGGCTGCGTCCCCGCGCCGCAAACAAAGAGAGTGGGAGACCGCCGACGCAGCCACGAGGACCGAGCCCTTTCGAGCAAGGGCAAGGTCCATTTGTCGGTGACCAAGACCTTCAGCCCCGAAACAGTCGCAGCCGGAAAAATGCACTTGTGGCAATCCTGTTGAGTTTAATGAAAGTGCGGCGGGAACCTGGACGGGAAGGATGGCCAGTTGGGGTGAGGGGCCACATTTCAGAGGGCGGTTTTGGCGAGTTGTGCAGGTTCCTCGCTGCCGTTTGTGAGAAGTGTGGAGCCGCCACAACCCCACCCCCCCAAGCCCCCGCAGCTTCCAGCACTTAATGAGTTTAGTGGGTGCTCTGGTGCCAGCAGCAGGTCCGATCGGCATAGACACAGCTGTCGTCAACACTTCAGTCAATGTCAGTGAACTCAGGTAGATACCAGGTAGCGCTGGTGCTGGAAGCTGTCCTGCGTTCGCTTGTGGGATCAAGCGTGGCTGCAGCAATCACCCTATCTATCTACACGCGTCCTTGACAGTGATAGCTTCACGAGATCCTCCTCCAGTGTACGAAGAGCCTCACATGCACAAAATGTCGGGCGATAGCATGCTGCACGGAATGCAACTTTGCAGCTCCTCCACGGGCCAAAAACCTCGCGTCGGCCCCGGCCGAAGCAGTCAGAGATTCCTGCTTTTCTCTTCGCCCGGCTCCCCCTTCCGGAGGCCCACCCGCTGATGTGGAGATGACCACTTCCACGGACCGAGGCCGACGACGCGAAGCATTTGCAATCATGAAGCCATGCAAATCTGCAGCCTTCCATGCTCGACCGCACGGAACCTTTTCAAAAGCCACAGCGAGCGCAGGCGCGCCAGAATGGTTCGGCCACTGCACGTGCTCCAAAGAAGGGCAGGTCGGAGGTGAAGCGGTGTACTGAAATGAGCCTCTGATGTCGCCGCAATGAGATCCGCTAAAAGAGGCAGTTCTTAGCTTCAAATCTCGAAATCTTCAAAATCTGATCGTGGGCAACAACACCATAAGCTGGCCATGCGACCGGCTCCCCTGTTGAATGGCCTCTACAATGGCATCCTGTCGGATTTCTCAGCTCTGACCATGTTGGAGAAAGACTTAACAAGCATGCGTCAGCAAGTCCTCGATGTCGCTTGGATCTGAGATAACACCAGACCCACACACTCGTCCCATCACGACACCTCGTTTGGCTGCCTCTTGAAAGAGCTGATTCCTGAAACAAGGGCTCATGCAGATTTTCCACATGACATCTTGCCGGAATTCGGCCTTCACGGCGAGCGGATGCTACATGATGCTACGACAGGACGGTACAGATGCATAGACAAGCAACATGCCAGACGACATACTCGGATGAATGCCGTCACGCATGACGGCATCGAAGGGTCCAACGAAGCCAACGGCTCTTCCTGGAGATCGAGGGCCGTAACAACATGACTTGCTACGGTTCCCGTTCGTGATGGGAGTTGGTAGGCTCTCCTGGACCTTGCCGACACATCAGGTCGAGAACAGAGTCACGAATCTCGGCCTTGGCTTGCAAACAGAAACCATGCTTGCTTGCATCCTGCTCGCGCAGAAGGTATAAAGGGCAACAACGTCGCAACCATTGTCTGCAAAGACACGGTTGAACGAGATTTAACGACTGAGTGCAAATGATCGCAAAGCGATTGCCAACAGGTTGAATCTAGCGTGCAATACTGACGGGAAACGGGACATGAAACCAGGGCGAGACCGAGAGACATTGAGGATGTACTCGCTCGTCTCGAATTGCAGCCATCCCTGTGTTTCGCTTTCCGAGGCTCGGAGACTGTCAGGAGTAAAGCAAAGAGTACGATCGCCAAGTCTGGTCGGGTATCCGCCCCTTGAGTCCTTACTGGCTGTACCGGGCCGGCCAGGAGGAAAGGTGATGCTGTCGAAATACTGCTCTGCCTCAAAGAGCTTTGTAGCATAAGGCCGCATGGTAGCACGCGCCCCCAGCTGCAGCGCATCACCATGCTGAGACACTGCCTCCCTGTGAAGTCTCTGCACAGGGAGCATGCCAGCTCTTGCGATCATCGCATTCTCCTCTCGACCCTGCCAACCGGATATCTGCCGATGCTCTGCATCCGATACAATGAACGAAAACCCGGCACGAGCCCAGGCTGTGACCTCATCTTCGCGCATCTTATGGGTGGGAATATCGTTGAATATGCCGAGCATGGGTGGCATCTCCGCGACGGAGCTTGAAGCATCGTAAACCTCCTTCACAGGATTTCGCAGCGGATCCAGCGTGTATAGGTAGGCCCGTTTGGCAAGTTCCTGCACAGTGACGGGGAGCTCGCCGCCAATCACTGACAGAGCGGTCCGGCCAATCTTGCGTGCCAATGTTGGCATCGGCAGAGGTCGGACCAAATATCCGTCAACCTCCTTCTGCATACCGTCATACGATGCGTCATGCTGATACATCTCTGAAGGAAATCCCTCCGGCTTTTTTTGCTTGGACTCAACAACAACTCTAAAACGTACAGCAATGCTTCTGAATGATTGTGATGTTCGTCACGCTTTGAGCTGCTACGACTGGCTAATCTTCCTGATAGCAAGCAACGGGTCGGTACCGCGCACGTACCGCGATTCCATGCATCATGCTGAGCCAGCCAGAGTGCATACATCAGGCGGGGTGCTTCAACAAAGCTCTAGACATGGAAAACACAAAAGAGAGCACAAAACCACACACAAACACGCGCTTGAAGACCAGTCATCCTTAGTTAGATGGGTGCCTTTTGCTAGATTGTTACATCTTCGCTTCCTTCTCGCTTCTGCTCACTTTGTCATCTGTGGCCACGATGAAACAACAGTTTTAAGGGTGCTTTGGGCGGCCATGCAAGTACACACCAGGACGTCTCCCAGTCCAGTGCATCACCAAAGTGAACGGGCGTCTTAGTTGGCAGCGATCCCAAATGCTCTGTCGCTGCTACCTGCTTCGTGGTGAAACATTAGCCTATGTCCCAAATCCTTTGAGACAGCAGGTGAGCACGCACATACACACCCGCACAACAGCTCTGGCCTCCTTGGCCTTGGCCTGGAGGGCCGCAAAGGACGTGCCTGAATGGGCCCGAGCAGGTTCGGGGCGTTCGCTGACACTCGTAAGAGGTGACAAAGAAGGCCTCACCATGCCATCCAGCATTCGGTGCCATGACAACACCCTGAGAGACGTGGCCGGCGACACCATTGCAGCGCATTCAAACTACTGCTTCTCTTGGTATGAGCTTGACCTTCATGGCCTCATGATGTACCACAAAGGCATGCAACATTTAAACGTTGTGAAACATGCAGCGTGAAATTCCTGCTGTGTCTTGCAGGGCATCCGAGAAGGAAGTTACACTTCAGTGTCGAAGAAAACATACAACAGCGAACGGTCAAGTCTGAAACAAGTCTCGCACTCGCCATGAAGACTGGCTGAAAGGATCAGAACATGACTGCAACTTTTGCCGTGGAATCCACCAGCATGTCGGCTCACGTCTGTACAAGGCAAGACATGCTTGCACGGAAATTCCACCGAGTGCGCCTGCAAGTTGTACATGGGCTGGGCACTGCAATCTGATGTGGATGACCCTACATGACGGACCCTGGTTTCGACAGCACTCTGTGCTAGTCCGTACCAGGACATGCCCGAATGCAAAAAAGCCTGGAAAGAGCTGTGAGCTTCTCGTGATGCAAGGGCTCAGGCGGACTTCCTGGCCATGAGCTGGGCCTCATCTCTGTAGCACAAAGAACTGCAAAGGGGCCTTGTACATCCTCAGAACCCCTCAAACCTCTTCTCATCAACCAGGTCGTGGGCTAAGGAGACAGAGGCATGATGATGTAATTGTTGTCTTTAAAGGCGTAAAGACCTCTGTACTTGGGTGAGGACCATCTTGATCGCATCCAGGATCTGCTTGTTGGAGGGCTCCAACTTCTCAGCCTGACTAATCGTTTTGCGAAACTGAACTCAAGACATTCTGCCCAAGAGGGCTGACACTTGCGAGACTGCGGAAAAGAGCGATGACACCAGACCCCGCATCCTGCTTTCGTCAAGAACCATCACTACATCGGCCTACGGCGTACGGTGTAGCTAGGACAGGGATCGCAGCCCAGGTGAAATAGTGACTTCGTAACCAGACAACTGAGGGTCTTCAAGTGCTGGAATCTGCTGCAGCAGAAACTATGGGAAACGGTGCACCCTTCATGTGACCTCAAGGAGAGCAGGAATGGCTTCCGCGTAGCGTTGCATTGCATGCAGGCCTGAGTGGACATAGAGATGCGAAAAGCTCTCTGCAAGTGCCACTCAGCGAGTCCAAGAGTTTAGCTGATGCCCTTCCGGAACCAGCCCTTCGGGTTCATGGGCTCGACCTCGAATGAGAGCGGGTCTTGTGCTGAACACTTCATAGAATAGCACTTTGCGGGCACCTCCGTGCACTTCTCGGCATCTGCGAAGGCCTGGCCGCGAAAGCTGAAGAGCAGCTCCTGTTTAAACTCTCAGCCGGGCCTTCTCATGATCACCCATTTTGAGCCAACACTGGGCACGATTTGCCCAAACGGCACCCATGTCAGGTGCCTAAGCACAAAACCCTCCACGAACGGAAACCACTTCCACGCAAGAGCATTTTCATCGACATCATGTGTCTCGACGACGATAGTCCTACACACTCGGCCATCATATCGATCCGACAAGTCCCTCCAAGTGTTCCGCATGTGTGATAGCTCGTTTCAGAAGCCTTGTATTCACGCGGAAATTGTTGGAAGGAAGTGATTGCCTGTGGTATGCATCCAGCACGTGTCGTGACGTCCGTCTTGCTGGAAAAGTCCGAGTTGATGGGCCGGTCAGCTGGACTGCTTCGCCTGTGGCATCGGCGATGGTGTCTGTGAGAATGGCCTTGTCATCATCATCGAATGGTGGGCGTGTAACGGTTAAAGAGCCCTGCAGTGAACTGCCAGTTTTGCTGTAGCCCTTGGGCAGTGGCGGCGGACCTTTTTTTCAAACGCTGGCGGTCCCCGATCTCATTTGCTAACGTTGGCTCTTGTTTTTTGGTTGCAAATACTGTAGATTGCTGCATTTGCTACTGTTTTGCATCAAGCTATTGGGGAATTCCAATTTGCAGGGTGGCATTTTGGCCGCACACTATTACTGGGGGATTGCAGTTTCGAAGGCGACTTGTGCATGTTTACACTAAGATTCAATTTTGAGAGAAGTAAGCAAACAAGCCGTCAGCAGAGAGGTCGAAGGCGCAAAACCGCGCACGACAGCCTGCAGGCAGTTGGGAAATACCCACTTCTTGCAGATACTCACGAATCAGGCCCAAATCCAACCAAAGTCAAGGGACATTCTCGGAGCACAAGTGAAATGCGTGGCGACGGATCCTCTGGAACTTTCCGGCTGTAGCCCCACCGAGTGCCACCAAAGCGCTGTCCAGCGAAAGCAGCGCCGCACAAAACTGGAGGGGAGAAGCCGCGCTTGTCGACTAGTGACATGTTGTGCGCGACCTCGACTTGCGGCGCCGCTGCACGGAAGCACTCTTCGCTGACAAACGCCTCAATATGGACAGTGGCAAAGTCTTAACCTTCGCAGACCACCCGAAACCCTAACCACTTCATTCGGAATGGCGAATCTGGGAGGTGCGTCAAGTCTGACTGGAGAGTGAAAAGCCTTAAACTAAAAAAGCCCTTCGAAATAGCAGACGTTCACCAAAACCAAAGTACACAAAGCTTGACAATTGCGAACCCCAACCCATAAGTGGAATGGGGAGTGCAAATCTGAAGGTGAATGGGGGTGGCAAGCAATGAACACCAAACATAATGTGGGCGAGTGACAAGCCCTACATCCAAAACCCGACAAGGAACTGGGAGCGGCAACCCTAGTTTGAAAGATCAGACAAATGGAAAACCTGCGGTGGCAAGCCCCAAACAATGAAATGCTGGAGGCCGAATGCGGAGCGAAAAGCATCGTACTACACACAGTTGCAAGCCCTACATGTCCGCAAATCAGATCAAGACTGGAGAATGGGAAGCCCTAAACACGCGAAGCACTGCTAAATGGCATGCCAAAAACATTGAAAAATGGAGAGCCTGAAAAACAAACAAACGATAAACAACCAAGACGAAAAGTTTGGTGGGTAGCAGACATTAAGTCCAAGGTGAATGCGCAGCAGCGCACCCTAAATCTCGACAACAAACCCGCAAGGCGGCGGGCAAGCAAACCGCAAACCTGCGGAATGGGGAGTGGACAGCCCCTTCAACAATAAAAGGCGTGCTTTCAAGCCAAACCAAACTACACATGCTGCCCCATCCTAAACTTTGACATGGAAAACCGTAACACTTACAGGAATCGGACCCTAAACTTTGACGAGTCGCCAACCCCAACCCGCAAGGGCCATAAGCAGTGGACAGCCATAACACGGAGTGATAGATGGCAAGCAACACCCCCAACGATTATGGGCCAATGGCAAACCCAACCCAAACCCTAAACTTGACAAGGAACGGGCACCGGCAACCCTGACTTCAGAGGTGCGGCAAACCGCAACCTGCGGAGTGGGGAATGGCAAGCCTCCAATAACGAACTGAATCTAAGGGGATGGCAAACATTCAACCCAAACCAAGTTACAAATCGCCAACCCCAACCCGCAAGGGGAATGGGGAATGGAAACTCCAAAATATTCCAAAATCATTGAATTACAAAAGGGAGCGGCGGATGGCAACTCCGAACGGACCGTGGGCCACAGACAAACCAAAACCCTAAACATGACAGAGAATGTGGAGAGCCTACATTGAACGGTGAAGCAAATGGCAAACCTGTGGCGAACCTCAACAGAATCAAAGGTTTGGGAGATAGCAGACAGCAGACATGAAGCCCAAAGCGCGGACGGCGCACCACTAAACCCTAAACCTTGACAACAAATCAACGCCTACTTCACACCTCCCAAAACCCCAACCCACAAGGCGAGTTGGGAATGAAAGGCCTTCACACACATAGGAATGTGAGAGGGCAGGCAATAAACCCCAAACGCATTGCGGGCCAGTGACAATCTCTAAACCTGACAAAAAATTGGGACTGGAAGCACTAGCTTGAGAAATGAAAAGAATCGCAATCCTGTGGAGTGGCGAGTGGCAAACGCTAAACAGTTAAAGCTTTGGCAAGCAACACCCCCCGAACGATTGATGGATCAATGGCAGACTCAAACCCTAAACTTGACAAGGAACCGGCATTGGCCATAGGTGCGGCGGTGCGGCAAGTGCAGTGCCAGGCTACGCTAATTTAAAGGCAGGCTATGTGCTGGAGCATATGGGTCGGCCCGATTACAGGAAGCTTGCAGCGGCTCAAGCTGATTGCGCGCGGTCTCCAGAGCTGCAATGTGCTGCACAATGTATTCAAAAGGATTGCAGATGTGGTGCCAATTTGCATGCTGGGGAGTTAACTGCTGCAGTGCCAACTTCTTATCTTGCTGAAGCTGTGCGACTCGTGCTTGCAGGTTTTCTACATGGCATTGCAAGACGCTCAGCTGCAATGCATGCAAATCCTGCTGAGGCGGTGCCTGAAAGAGTTGCGATGCAAGCGATGCTGTGCAGGCGCAATCCTGCCGGGGAGATTATCGGCGCTTAGGAATGATTAAGGCTACCATGAGAAATCAATGGAACTGGCTAAGTTGAAACAGCGCCACGTAATCCTGGGGACAAAAAGAAGCTAGGTGCGTGCACCCTCTCTACGGTTACAGATTAAGTACCCTCACCAAAGGCGGGATTGCGAGCGGCACAGGGCTGCCTGATGCGAAAGAGATGTGCGCTGGCCCCAGTACAAAACGATCCTATCGAGCATGCTTCGAAATGCAAAGTGTATTGCAATGCGACCTCAATGGGGCTTCGTCGCGATCCATCTGCCAAGCAGCACGTGCTGGCGTGTCGGCTTACTCCTGAAGGCTGTGCGAGATGCTTGTAGTGCTGTCCGAATAGGGGTGGGGCCGGGTGTTCCGAAAGTAGATAAGCTGCTGTTGTGTTGCTGTTGCTGCTGCAAAAGTTCATGCATGCGACATGTGAGCTGAAGCCAGCCGATGCAGGAAACTGAAGTGCGAAGCAAAGGGTGCAAAGCTTTCTTAAAGAACAACAAAACGCACGTGAGAAAAGAAACACGTAGCGTGGCCAACATGCGACAAGTCGCAACCCTGCAAGGGGAATGGGGAACGGAGACCCCTAACCACTCAGTTACAAGAAGGAATGGCGGATGGCAGGCTATAAACCCCAAACGGACTGTGGGCCTTGCCCTGACCCTTAAATCGGACAAGGAATGTGGAGTGGCAACCACATTGGAAGGTGGGGCACATGGCGAACTGCTGAATCGGGAGTGACACACCTCAAGGAATTAAAGGTTAAAAGTTAGTAATAGCAGACATTAACCCCAAAGCGGGCGGCGCAGCAGTAAACCCTAAACCTTCACAACCAGGCCAACCGCAAACCTTTGGAACGGGAAGTGGGAAGCGCTCGCCTTCAAAAGTAAAAGGCATGACCAGGTATGAAGGATAACAAACATTCAGCCCAAACCAAACAGTGCCAAACCCTAAACCTTGACACATCCCCAACCCCAACAACCAGCAAAGGGAGTGGGGAATGGAAAATCCTAACACTTACAGGAATGTGAGATGGCAGGCAATAAACCCGAAACGCATTGCGGGCCAGTGACAATCTGTAAACGTGACGAGAAATTGGGACTGGAAGCGTCAATTTGACAAGTGCAAATCGCAACCTTGTGGAGTGGCGAGTGGCAACCCTAAACAATAAAAAGTTTGGGGGATAGCCGCAGGCAAACTGCGCAATGGCAACCCCTAAACCTTGACAAATCCGCAACCGCAAGGGCAATAAGCGGTGGACTGGGGGATGGCAAGCAATACACCCCGAGCGATTTGTGCATCAATGGCAGACCCAAACCCTAAACTTGACAAAGAACGGGCACCGGCAACCCTAGTTTTCAGAAGTGCGGCAAGTCGCAACCTGCGGAGTGGAAAGTGGTAAGCTTAAGATACCCGAGCTTGTACTGGAAATAGCCAAATCCTCAAAACGCAAAAAAAGGGCAACCTGCAAACACAGAAAAAACGTGACAAAAAACGTGAGTCAGGAAAGCAACTCCAAAAAAAGGCGACACCAAAGGCACCAAAAAGGCAAAGGTTTGGGGCTTGGGTCCCTGGGTGCCATGGGATACGGCATTATCACCAGTGGGAGGCTGGTTGCCCTCCGTCGCGCTGGCCTTTTCGGGGCCGCCCACACCCTGCCCTTTCGCGCCCAAGCCCTTTCCGCGGCTGCGTGGAAGAGAGGGCTGAGGAGTGAGTTGACACTGACCGGCTTCGAAGGGTTTTGGTGACACGGAATTGAATTTTTTTGATCTACGAGCGGGTTTTTTTCGAGTCTACAGAGCGGGGCCTGGAGGGGGAAGTGGAGCGCCTTTTTTTGCGTTGTGCTAGGGAAAACGCAAAAAAAAGGCAACAAAAAGGCAAAAAAAAAGCAAAAAAAGGCGTCAACAAACATGCAAAAAGGTACAAACAAGGTGAAAAAAAAGGTGCCAGAAACCCTCAACTTCAGCTGGACAACGTAGCCGGAAGGTGAAAAAAAGGCGCCAGAGAACGTGCTTCCACACCCCCTCAGCCACCTCCCTCGCTCGCCCTCCCTCGCTCGCCCTCCTTGCGCGCGCCCTGAGCCCTAAGCCAACGATAAGCATAACGACCTGTCAGCGCGGTTTAATTCGGGTTGTTTTCGGGTTGTTCATACGTTTCCGGGGAGGCTACATTTGGCTTTTTTACGTTGGTTTTTAAGGGATACTACGAATCACCCTTTCCAAATGGTTTTTGTCACCTTTTTGAGGTTTGCAACACACACCAGGACTAGCTTGTGCGAACGACTTAATGGTAAGCCTCAAGAAATAAAAGTTTGCGGGATTATAGACACTGGCACACAATAAACCGTGACAACTTGCCAACCCCAACCCGCCAGGGGAATGGGGAATGGAAACCCCTCAGCACTCAACTACAAAAGGGAACGGTGAATGGCAGGCAATAAGCCCCAACCGGACCGTGGGCCAGTGACAAACCCTAAACCCCTAGAGCTGACAAGGAATGTGGAGTGGCAACCCCACATAAAAAGGTGGGGCAGGGGCAAATGTCAAGAGTCGGGAGTGGCCCACCTCAAAGACTTAAAGGTTTGGGTGGTAGCAGACATCAAGCCAAAAATCGGACGGCGCAGCAGTCAACCCCAACCCTTCACAACAAACCTGCAAGCGGAGCAGGCAGGGCAACGGGGAGTGGCAACCCTGTTTTGAAAGGTGGGTCCAAGCGCAAACCTTTGGAACGGGAACCGGAAAGCCCAAGCCTTCACCACAGCGCTAACGCCGCACACAACCCGTTGAAGCTCGCACACCAGTCCTTTTCTATGGTGAGCGCAGTCCTTTTGAGGCTTCGCATTGAGCGGAAACTGCTTTTTCCCGCTTTGACGATTTTGTGTGCGTGCTCGATTTGCAGGGCAAGCACAACACTCGGTAGGGTTTCAGGGTTTATGCATGTGGATCTGAAATGCTCAGTACGCGCAAAAGTGCGCAATATGATTGTGCTTTCTCAGGGAATCGACCACGGCTCTTTATCATGCAACTGCTCGAAAGAATTAACACCGAGCCTATCCAAATGATACGCTCAAAAGGTGCGAACAGTTTGCAGAAGGCCGTTAAGTCCAGGTTTATGGAAGGAAAAACAATTGTTGGTTCTTCTGAGCTGGGATTTGCCTCGGGAAAAACACGCTCTGCTGAATTATCTCCGCCTAGGGAAATGTACGTGCGGCTGGGCTGGGCTGGGCTGGG